TAATTCCACTATTTGCTTTCAACACTTCTCCTTAAAAATCAACCAAGTTAACATATCACCACAAGAATCTCCATTATTAACTTCAACAAAGTTAGCTTCTGCCTTGACAATTCAAGAATATTGCGAATATAACGGTAAAATCTTTCGACTTAGCAAAAAAAAAAAATTTATTTGATAATAAAATACTTGAAAACAAGAACATTAAAACTCAAGGATTACATGTTCACTCATCCGCTTGTGATGCATCAACATAAGCAACATAAATATTGTACTCTAGAACACCATAACTAGTTTCGACATCATACGAGTAAGTGTTTGTAATGGTATATCCACGGGCCATTCGGAAAACCCCGGTACCTCCAACAATAGCCAACTCTCTATATTGGTTACCTAATGGATTCCTCCCCAGCATGCATAGTGTACTTCCATTGTAGTTCCCTGATGTAAATACAAAGTTGAGGTTCATTGTCAGGGCTGATTCGTGAAAGTCAGAAGATGTGATTAGCCCTTGAGCCCGGCCCACTATCTCTGAGTTACGATCAGGTCCGGCGGTTACTAGATCATCTAAGACTCTGACTTGACCAAACGATGTCGCTGAATTAGATGTAAAGTTGCATCGTGCCACTTCCCAGACAGTTGGGTTCTGGCCGCCTAGTTTGTCTTGTACAAAAAGTTGAATGCTGGTAGTTGTTTCCTTTCCTAGGTAGAGGTTTTGGAACCTGGCATGTTCTTGTGCATTCGCGTAGGCCTTAGGCATAGCCATGCCTATAACCAATGCACAAAACATAAACGTTAAAATAAGAAACTTTCCCATCACTCCCGCTTAAATTTGTAAGTTCTAATGGGTCTATGATAATTGAATTTGCATAGAACTTTGAGATTGGTATGCTGTATATCTAAGTGTGTATCATTATAATAAGGGAAAATTGCAGCATGGGCCTTAAACCTTTTGAATAGTTGCAGATTTTCCCCTAATCGTTCATTCGTTGCTGTCGTCGCTCTTAACCTTTCGAAACGTTGGTGCTGAAGCCCCAATAGATGGATTCCATCCAAATGTCTGTTAGTTGACCAAGAAACTGAGTTTGATCACATTTTTTTATATTTTTTTGTAAATGATAAAATAGTAACTTTCAATTTACCATATTAAAATAAGTTAAAACTAATTTAGAGAAAAAAAAAATGTAAAGAAAAATAACAACTGTATATATTCTTTATCCTCCCCCAAACTTAGCGCCCCTCTAAAACTCATCCAGCCACCTATCGACATCGATTGCCCTCAGCGGCCACAACCCACCACCGTCACCCTTCACACACAGCAAACCAAAATCCATGTCTTATTACATAAATCACCACCTAACAATTTGCAGCTTCTCTAGGTTCCTTATCTCAACCCCTTTCACTCTCACCCTTCTCAAAGCTACACCTGCCACACAAACACACAATTGAATGTGCCCTCTGTCGTCGAAGTTCAATGCATAACTTAAGGGATTATACTGGAATTGTTGCCTAGAGAATTTTTTGGGAAGAATCCAATTGAAGTGAACAAACCAGTAACCGTGGGTGCTCGGCCACCAGATATAGCACTCTCACCTGTGGCCGGAATGTACAGTCTAGCAGGTCATGATTTATCACCAGCTGGAATGGAAATAATATCCTTTATTTATTTCCTTAGTTTTTAAAAGATAATGTTATAAATATAAGATTACCATTATGCCTTTTTAAAATTTATAAAAAAAATGTGGTCAACCTTATCTGTTTGGGTCAACTAACAGACATTTGGATGTAATCCATTCATTGAGACTTTAGCCGCAACGTTTCAAAATGTTAGAGATGACGACTGCAACGAATGAAATGTCATGGGAAAGTCTGCAACCATTTGAAATGTTTGGTACCTCTACTGCAATTATCCCTTTTAATAATGAAACTCGTGACGAAAATGGAGTAGTTGGAATGGAATATTTAATTTATTTTGGGATTAATTGACTTAATTAATTTCTAGCAACTATACTTTCCAATTAGCCGGCTCTCCTTTTCATGATTTTACAATTGAAAGATTCTGCATCTAACAACCATAGTTTCACATTAACCTAACTTCGCAGTTAGCTGTCCGCGGTGGCTGGGGCGGCCGGGCTTGGTGATGTTGCTATCCCTCGTACCCTTTTCAATTGGACAAATTGAGAGTATTAAATTCAAAATCACCTAATCATTGCATGCGGCCACCCAATAGTACAGTTGACTAGTCTTAGAGCCTGTTTGGTAGGGATTTTTGGGGGAAGAATTGATTTTGAATAGTGAGATGATGGGAAATGTGTGGTTGAAAAAGAAGAAAAAAGTATTGATGTGATGGAAAATATTATTTTATTGAAGAATGTGTGGTTGAAAATGAGNGATGGAAAATATTATTTTATTGAAAAATGTGTGGTTGAAAATGAGAATTGATTTGAGAATTGATTTGAGAATCAAATACAAACAGGGCCTTAGTCTTCAAACTTTTATTTATAAAATAAAAGAAAGTAGAGATAAGCTTCTAATTCTACAAAAATAATAGTCTTAATTATACTAAGATAAGACTTTCGATCTTCATGATTATTACTGTAACGTATTCAATTTGCCAATTTTTCTATAATTTTTTAAGCAGCAAAATTGCTCCAAACTTAATTATTAAAAAATGATTTTTACCTAAAAAATAACAATTAATGTCAATTTTTATTCATTGAATTTTATTTATTTTAATTAGAAGAAAACAATTCAGAATTTTTATTTGTTTTTACACTGCTGGAAGAGTCCGTGAAACATTTCTAAATTTTTCAATATTTTATTAACTTACTAAAATTAGTTTTTGTTGATTTGATAATAGAGTTTAAGAATAGAAGATATTAAATTTTATAAATCTCACAAGAAAAAGCATTTAATGAAAGACCAATAATTAAAAAAAATAATATACCAAAGGTACGTAATATATATGTTCTAATACATTATTTCTATTTTCATGTATTCATCTATTTATAATGACATGTTTGTAATTTTTTCCGCAAAGACTCTTTTGTAACCACTGTGCAAAATTTAGCAAGTTTAAAATATAAATTTGTAAACTACGGCATGTAAAGTATAATTGCACCCTACTGAAGAAAATTTCACTTTTAACAACGAAAACGTTTTGTTGGATTGTGATGCCATTTTTTACATTTTCTCTTCAACTGTGGGCGATGATGAAAACTGGGCCTATTGCTGGATGTTATCAATCACTGCCCGATAACATTTAGAAACCGGCCCGAAACCCAACCCATCCCAACAGAATGACACGTGTGTTCCTCTGAGCCCTTGATCTACAATTTGATCTACAGTGATTGTGAAGTATATATACCAGTTGAATGGTTACTTGAGCCCTGATTTTTCACTGTACTCTCTCCTTCGCGTGGGAGAAGTTTCTGAGATCTTTCCTTCGTGTTTTCTCTTCTTAATTCTCTCGTTCGATTTTGTGTGAATAGATTAAAACTGTTGGTTTTAATCATCAATCTTTGTGTTTAGAGTCTAAGTGATTCTGTGCTTGAAGGATTGAGAATGTTGGATCAATTTGTAGCTGTGTAGTTGATTTCTTTAGGGTGTTGGTGTCTTTGTGACCCTTTTTTTTTTTATAAAATGATACAATGAATTATTTCTGAGCCCTATGTAATAATAAAATCCTTTGATGTTGGTATTTTGTTATTGTTCAACATATCGTGGTATTCTGCTTTCGTTGAAATTAGGCTCTACAAGTGGTATTAGAGAGTTTGTGAGCTGAAAAATTAATTTCACCGTGG